TTATACTATAGAAATTTAAATAAAACATAATAGTTAATAAAAGTGTTAAGGAATTAACTCTTAACAAAAAATTTGGTTTATATATCTAAGTGTATAATATAATATGTTAAATACACTATATGTACATGTTTATGATATACACATTTATAACTTTTTATTTAATAATAAAGAAATCTTACCTAACCCTTTTCATACTCTAAAGTAATATAATGTTATGTGAAACAGATGGTGAGATAAAATAAGAAGATAAAGTGGACAACTAATAAATACTAACAAACTTGACAGAACTTAGGGGTCTAATAATGATTAGAAACGTATTTGAATTATTATTTATTTATTTGTTGTATATAATATACATATACACTTATTTACGGACAAGACCATTTATAAATACATTCAGGTATATTACAAAAAATAAAATACACAAATATGCTAAGGATTATGTAAACTTTTTAAGAATTATAATAGATAAATTTTGAAGTTCTAATTTTATGAATAACAAAAAACTGTTTTAATATTTTATTGATATAATACAACAATAAAAATATATTTTAAGTGTAGATTAAAGTTTCCAAAATAATAACACTGTAATTCATATTAAACACGATCAATGTACGCCAAATGTAAATTGTAAAACAAATATTAACTCATATCAATGAAAGATTATTTGAATTCATTTTACAATTCAAAGCCATTAAATTTAAGAAATTTATAAGATTAAAGGTAAAAATTATTATCAGTTTGCTTACTCAAAAGATTTTCATTCATTTCGCAGTTCATTATCATATATAAATTAATTTTGTTGATCTAATTATATTTATTATATTTAATTACCTGATAATAAATTTAGACACACAAATTAACTGCTGAATTAATATATTTACTTAACTGATTATTTTTTTAGATTTTTATATCAATTTAGTTGGAATAAATAACAGAATAATTACAAATCATTTCATTGGTAGTGACGAATATTTTCAATACACTCATTATATTTTCATTGATTTCTTAGTTCATAATCATAAGTGAGTTAGTTCTGTTACCTAATAGTTAAGTTAAATTTTTTACAACAGATTTCCATATCAATAAATAAATTAATTAACATTCACAAATCACTTCATTGGTAGTGACGAATATTTTCAATGTACTCATTATATTTTCATTGATTTCTTAGTTCATAATCATAAGTGATTTAATTCTATTACTAATTATTTAATATTTACTTAAATGATTATTATTATTTTAGAATTTAATTTCAATAAATAAATAAATTATTGAACATTTAATCACTTCATTGGTAGTGACGAATATTTTCAATGTACTCATTATATTTTCATTGATTTCTTAGTTCATAATCATAAGTGATTTGGTTCTGTTACCTAATAGTTAAGTTAAATTTTTTACAAC